ATTCGTATAATTGAGTGCCATATTTAGGTGCTGAAGCTTAAATAAAGATTAGCAATGAAAACGCAAGATATTCAAGAAAAAGACAATGTAAACTCTAAGAGTATCGCCCATACATTTGAACATTTATTTCTAGCCTGGCTTTTTAACTGGCTTTTCTCACTTCAGACAACATGCCAGCCGACTGGCCGTTCGTTCTTCAAAAGCCAGACGAACATATGGCGAAGTTTTAAATTTATTTATATGTTCATATATCTTTGTCAGTACCGTTGGGCCTAAGGGACGTAAAGTCTACCTTTGTAGTTGCGTTTTGTAAAGTTTTATAAAGATAACTTCAAATATTTGGGTACAGCGTATCTCCCCGTCGGGCGTACCCCTACTTTTGTTAAAGAGCTTGTAAAGAATGCACACGTTGCGTATTTATAGGAACATACACACACGCACACACACACATGCACACCTGGTATAGTGCACAGTGTAGACGTTATCGCTGCTGTTGTTGTCCCGTTTTTCAAGGTATCGACTGAAACGCTGTACAAATATTTACCGTTGGCAGCGGCAGCAGCAGCAGCAGCAGCGGCAGCGACAGCGGCTTGTTAGAGGAGTATCTGGCAAGTTTTTGACCCGCACCCGACTACCGACTACAAACGATAAGCGCTGCAGACATGGCCACGCTAATTGCGGAATGATAAAAGTTGGTAACCGCTCCCGGCCACAAGTGAATCGCGCAATTGCCAAGATTTCGACTTGGGCCGTTTCCCGTTTCCATGCTCCTGTGTTCCTATTTGCCTAAACCGGCCCCCAAGGAGTACTCGAAAAGTCCTAGGCGTTGCCAGACAGCGCAAATGTGTGTGCGGGTGGGTAGAAAGATTCGAAGAGGGAAATGTCGAAATGGCGGCTAAGCGACGAGGAAGGGCGTGGTGTGGGGTAAAGGAGGGCTGCTGCAGGAGCATTACGTAAAGTATAAGAAAAAATTATGATTTTCACTTGGCAACACTCAAGCAAGAGAATGGGCATGTTAAGAGGTATGGGGAGAAAGGCTGGACGGGGGCCTGCTTGCTGCTTAACTGTCAAGATCGTGTAATTTAATAAAGTTCGCTGCGGGATATTGTTCGCGCAGAAGTATCTACATGTCTAGTACTCGCACGAATCCAGCTTGTTTGCGTATCCCATTTTTTCTTCTTCTGCTTTTGCCACTTTTCAGCATCCTAAGCCAGCTGCTGTGTGCTTCCCTTGCCCGCCCTGCCCGCCATGGTAAGAGGCAGAGGCAGGATTGGAAGCCAACATCATAGACCTTGCCTTTGTGTTTGTTTTTGGCTTGTGTTTGTATTGTTTTGTTTTTTTCTTTGAATTTTTCATTTTCATTTTTATTTTTATTTTATTTCGCACAGTGGGCGCATTCGTATATGCATATGAACAAATCTGAACGAGCGTGCATCAAACTGGAAGATGATCCATGCCAAACTTAGAATTTAAATCAAATTAATGACAAAATTGACTTCTATCAAATTATGTTATCCCACTCCAAAGATTTTTAATTTAATCCCATACTTAGCACAGTTTTCAAATAAGTAATTCAAATATGTTTTCTTACAATTTTGTATCAGAAATTTGTTTGGATCAAAGCTTTTAAGGATTTTCCAACCGAACCAAAATTCAAAAATAATATAAAGCGTATCGTGGTTTCTTTGCAAGAAAGGTATAGAGAACCCTCTAATTGAATGAAAAGTGCGGACTGATCTAAAAGTATGTCTAAATTATATATAAATGGTATATCTAATCATCCCTGCATTAGATATTAGATATTAGATATTGCTACAGTATACAATCAAGCCGCAATCGAAAGGAAAATGAAAGAAAAACGAAAGGAAAAGTCAACCTGAAATAAACAATGAATATAAAAAATGTATCTGGGCGAATGACTTGACTTGACTCTTGTGGGTCGATTTCAAGATGTATTAGTTACCAGAAATAACAATAAAACATGAAATATTAAACCTAAAATTTGGCAAAGGCAGCCAAAACTAACGAACTCGAAGGGCGGAGGAGATTATTAACTTAGCCAAATATCATTGCGACAATGCATTGCCTGATCAACTCGATCTGTAATTCTCGATGATAATGAAGATCACAATCAGAGAAATCCAATTAAGCAAACGTTGGTAGTTTCAGGATTGCTAAAATGGCACGAATCGTCACTTCAATTTGTTCGAATGTTTCTGATCAGACATAAAACAAAAAAAAAACAAAAGCATATTGAAACACATTTAACTTGATCCAAGCTTAAGTCGAGGAAAAAGTTTTTGCCTTCTGCCCCCTGTCTACAAGGGTAGAATGCCTTTTTTTATTTCCTTACTTTTATATGCCAGAATGCATAGGAAACCGTAAATTGGCAAATTTATATAAAAGTAAATACCTGAAATTTGGTAGACGCAGAACGGGCTTTTATTATATTTGTTGTCTCTGCCCAATTTAAAAATATCGATAAATATTAATATTGAGAGATGTTTTGTAAGGCATAACTAGAAGATAATATGGCGTAGATACACCCAAGTTGACTTAAAACTTTTCGATTTTCTCTCAATTTGTGCACCTAGATGCGGAAGAAGGCAGCTCGACGATGGGTTCCGAATCCCATTCGGATCTCTCCGACTGGAGCCCTCTTACTTGTTTATGTTTCATTTATGATACTATATACTAATATTATTTGCAAATATCTAAAGAAATATGAGAGTTTTGGGTGCATTTCAAGCCAGTTTCGATCAAAACCGGTTCGCAGCCTTTATCTGGATGTTATTTGTCTTGTCGTGCATAGAATTAATTGATTGAACAAGGACAACCATATTCAAAAAAATAAGTTTGAAAACTCTGAACAGCTATGAGAGATTAGCCTGGCCCAGCCTGCTCCAGTTGGCTCTGGCGACCCTTGGCTGCACAAGACTTTGTGTTTGTGATTTTTTAGCAAGCAACTTTCATATTTTATTTTATTAAGCAAAAAGGAAATGTGCAAGTAAACAGCGACTGCAAACACACTTACACACACACACACACACACACTTATACACTCATATAAATATACCCTCTCCCTAGTTGGGTATGTGCTCGGGCCAGGCCTACGCCCCTCACACTCCCCCTGGCAATGTCATATGAACGCCCCATTATTTACTTAACGTAAGTTAAACATTCGCCCGTTTCCTCCCCTTCGCACGAATTGCTTCTTTTGGGGCCGCGACTGTGGGCTGGGGTATGTCGGAGTACATGTTGGCAAAAAAGAAAAAAAAATAATAATAAAGCCAAAAAGAAACAAACAGAAATTCTCGTAAAGTGGAGCAAAAGTGCGGGGCGAGCGGCAGGCGGAAGGCGGCTGCTTGGCTAACCTTACCTGCCAGCAAAGCAGCCTAGTCAAAGAGCTGTCGTCGATGCTAAGCGCAAGTTTCCCCCTCTCCGCACCCCGACTCATCGACTGCCTCCCGTCCCCTCCACTTCATGAGTAGAGTAAACAAACCGCCATGAAATATGCAGCAGGCAGTTCGGGCAATGGCGAACAAAAAATGATTTATGTGGACGCCATGAAAAAACAACGAACAACGAAAAACGAACAACCAACAGCAAAAATAACAATAACAACATCAACTGATTTCTCAACTTGGCTCCAAGCCCGTGAGCTCCCTTTCCGACCTTTTTTTTTATAAATATTTTCATTTGTTGTTTGGCCTAGCAATGAAAAATGCGCGTTTCACTACAGAAAGGCATCTGTCCAAAGGAGGGCATCGAAAATTTGGGAACTAAGATCTAAAACTAAGAGCATATTTTATCTGAATAGCAAAAATGATAAGTTTAATATGATAAAACTAAGAATTCCCTGTAACACACATACCTTATCTAATGAGTCAACCTCGTCATATCGATCAGCTCATATGCAGCTCCCATCGGGCTGACTTAGCCAGACTAATATGACTCGTATGTTTATATAAATATAACAATATGGCGTGAAACTCCAAGAAACTGTTGCAGCGTCCAATAATTCTGTCTATCATGCCTAAATCAAGTTTATTTCAAAAGAAAAAGAGGGAGAAGGGAGTCATTTGTAGCTCCAAAGAACTTACATACTCTTGATAGGGATTAACAGGCGAGATAATCGGGCGAAATCTGCGTTCTTTGTACCCGTATACCATTTGCTGATGAAGATTTATACATATACATTTTAAAAGCTTTTTAGCATATCCTTGGAATTTTATAAATAAGTCACACCCAATTCGGCAAACATTCTTGCGCCAGATATCTACTATTTATCCAAAATATGTCCTAAAAAAATATCACCTCAAATTAAATCTAAGTCTTTTAACCACACCAAGCTACGTAGATAGAACGTTTTGATCACAGCAAAGACTCGGTAAAATAATATAAATAACTGAATGTATTAAAGGTCTATTTAAGGTCTGTCGAATAAATTACTAACAATTGGAATCAATGGTGTCCGCCAAAGTCAGTCTTGCCTTGACAGTCTTAAGTTTGAGGAGAATGGGACGCATTTATACCCTTCAAATGGATCTATTTGTCAATCAAAATGCCTTGCTTGTGCTGTCTTTGAACCGATGTGCTAGGCATATGGAAGTAGTTATGTGCCTGAGTAGAGTTTCGGTCCAAAATTTAGAAGCTTGTTAGGGGTGAGTTGATCAAACAATAATTAGTTATGAGTTCGGGTAAGAATACAAATTCGGCCTCAAATGAGAAGCTACAGAATGCGTGCTCCACAGTAGATGTCAGTAATTAGCCATATTCATCTAAATGAACGTAAGTTTGTACAATAAATAATGATTATACAAAATCTACGCAGATGTCCGATGTCGATTGGGCTGCCTACAACGCTTTTCGCTGCGATCTGGCAAAAGTGCATAAGACTTTCAGTTCCTGCACTCAGACGGAGTTCACTGAGGAGGTTGGCACAATAACCGAGCTTTCGCTGGGCTGCAAATTCTTGGGCGGAGCCGTGCCCCGGAAGATCTTGGCCCCCGCCCGGGATAACAATGGAAAAGGTGAATAATCAGGAAACTGGGCAATCGCGCAGAGACACAGATCCATTGGCACAGAGTTCTTCGTCGACCCAACAGCAGGCTTCTCCCATCGAGTCCAAGCAGTCGATCACTATTTTACTGGAAGAACGGGAAAATCACGAATTGCCGCGCAAAACCCAGTCGGACAGCAGCCTCGAGCACAGTCAGACCTCCCTGTTGAATCTGGCGAAACGCATGCGGCGCACCAGCTCCGAACAATTATCGAGAAGTCGACTGGATCAAGTAAATGCTCCGGACCCTGATCTATCGCTGCCGGCAACGTGCTCGACAGCAGGTTGCGTTCTGGCGGCAAGATGCAACAGCAGTGCCTGCACGATTGGAAGCGCAGAGCTGACAGTAACTGACTCACAGTCCTCGGGATATACCACGGAAAGCAGCTACCAGACGGCCACGGCCGGCAGCAACTATAGCCTGAGCAGCACGTCCTACGTGAGCCAGCAGCGGCCCTATCCGGGCAACTATCTGCACGAAATCCATGTGGCCGTGGAGGCGAACGCAACGGATGCACACGTCCAGGCCATACGCGACGACCTGCGCAACCTGCTCTGCAACGAGGTGGCGCTCATTCACGAGGCATCCGGCGGGAACAGGCGAGCGATATATCTAATTGCCTATCAGTACATGTAGAGAGTGCGATTGTTTTTCAAAATACAAATTTCTAAATTTCTAGTCTCGCTTAACCACTTGCTGTACTCACTCCCAAACCTGATGGGCTTGGGCTTGGGCTTGGGCTGGTCCTGGTCTGGGCATCATTCGCTTGTTGACATTATGACAAATTACGTGCGCAAAAGGCAACAAAAGCCACCCCCGGAAGGATGTCGGAAGGAAACAACAAGCCAAAGCGATACGCTTAAGCATTAAGCATCGTAGGGTGCCGGGTAATATGGAGGGTGCCGGGTACCCTCAACGTTAATAGGAAAGCCACACAAGAACGGCTAACGAACGGCACGCGGCAGGCGGCGGGTCGCTCGGTCGCTCGCTCGGTCGGTCGAGTGAGCGACAAGTGCGCTAGCCCACAGTTGAGGGTTGTTCCGGGGCAGGGGTTGAGGGACTTGCGCTAGTCTCCGCGGTGTGGGTTTGTTTGCCCAGTGCTAAGTGCACGGCCATAGGCAAGTGGAAATGACAAACATATTTACACAATTTTTGACAGGCCCAAACCAAATGCGATATATACGGTACTTCACTTTCCGCTGGCAGCGCCAAGAAGTTCGCAACGAACGGGTGAAACCGAACACCCGTGGGTGCAGCGAGCTTCCCTCAGTCCACGGAGCCCCTTACGCACAACAGCAACAGCAACCCAAACTCGATAAATATGTTTATGTGCAAATAACAAAATATTTGTCGATTGCCGGTTCTTGAATTGCTCAGGGCAGGAGGCAGGCGGGCAGGCATAGAGTGGGGGAGGGGGGAAGCACCGCAGGCGCATAATTCAATTTTTCTGCTCGTTTTGCACGACGCTCGTCGAACGCCGCTCAACTCCACTGGGATGTGTCTCGTATCTAGCTGGTTTGGTCGGGCTTGCCGGCTCCGGAGCTGCATATTAACGACACGTGGCCTCGGCGAAGGGGCATATGCGGTTTAGCACTGCCCTGTTATTTATTTGTTTGTAATTACGCGTGTACTAAACAAAATCCCGGCGTACTTGAAAACGCGCCCAGGTCCATCAACAATTGTTGTTGCTGCTGCAGCCTTGTCTATGCTCTTTTCAATGCTGCAGCACGTGCACGAAATGGGCTGGGATTGGGACTCGAGGAGCTCTGGTTATTCCCTGCGCATTAGCAACAATAGCGCTGAACGAAGTCTAAGCCATTTGGACATTGTCAACAATTTTGGGCTTCGACTTTGGCATTGTCTTGTCTGCACATATCTCCGACGATGGCGCGTGTCCTCCGTGCCGGCTGCCATTGTGTCAGTTGTCAACATTTTGGGCTGGCTTTTAGCTGCGGTCTTAGCTTGTCAATTGATTTGCGTGGGATCGCGAAACATGTGAAGCATGAATCGAAATCAAAATTGTGACAGAATTGGTGAGAAGAAGCGCGTAAGACTTTCAGCCAGGGATTTGCCTTGCAGGAGAAAACAGCCGAGAAAGGGCATATGCCGAGTTTAGCTGGGAATAGAATGCAACTTTGTGCTTAGGCAAAGCGAGTAAAAAGGGAATAATAAATTTCCTTCTCGAGCGTGCTCGACTAGCTGATACCTGGTCTTAAAAAACAAGAACAAAAATATTCTTAAATATATTCTGTATTTAATTTCGCTTCAAATTAAGGAAGCTCTTTTAAAATTGAATGTGCTTTTGATTTAATGGTCTCCAACTAAGGACAAGCATGGGCTGAACTGAAAAGATAAAGAATAAATGCATCCATTTCGACAATTTCTCTGGGAGCACAGCCTATAATAATAATTAAAGACTAAGCCCTTGTTTTACTTTCTGCCATTATATTATTAATTTCAGTTGCCACAAGAGCTATTGTGCCAAAGGTAAGAAGTTGTAGCTAATTGCAACACACTTGGCTTTCAAATGGAAAGCCTTAGCCTTAAGTCGGGCCAACCGCATTCGGCACCTGCCACAGGTGCTGGCCTGCACACATTCATGCACATGATTCGCTTTCAACGGCGCTCAATCAAAACAACTCCCTAACCACACCCAGATATGGGTACATAGAGCCACCCACAACGAGTGAAATCAGCAAAACAACAGCGAAAAACTTTGCATAATTAAGGGCATAAATAAATAACGGACAGCTAGTTGCAGAGAGCAGCTAAAAAATATTAGACGAGCAGAAATCAAGCAGGACAGCTGTTCTGTCATGGGCGAGGCGGATTGCGACTTGGCCTGGCCACGGGGCACTGGGACCTGTGAACCGAGACCCTTTGTACTCACCCTCAAGCGCTCGATTCCTTGAAATTAAAGCAAGCACAAACTCTGGATTTGGGTCATCATGGTCGACAGGCAACACGCCGACACCGACACCGACACCGACTCCAGCACCGACTCCGAGTGCAGCATGCTGATGATGATTGTGCTGACCAGCGAGCAGGTGCGATGCCTGCGGCGTGGCTGGCAATTGTTGCTGCTGCTGCTGATGAATGTGCTGCTGCTGATGCTGGTGATTATCCATGACTGACAGATGCTGCTGCAGTTGCTGTGACTGAGGCTGTGCCTGGTGCTGGTGCTGGTGTTGGTGATGATGTGGATGCTGATGTTGATGCAGTGGCGGTGGCGGTTTCAGCGTTTGCATCATCTCTAAGGCCAGTTGCATGCACGCTCACAACAACAACCGCAGCTAATAATTGTCGCAATTTATAAGCTTCTTTTTCGTTTTTTTTCTGTTACTCGTGTATGTAAATTGGGCGGATCGTCACACGTGTCGTATGCGCATTAATTGTATTTAATATGGCACTTGCTAGCAGGCACTTTCCCGTCAAATAGGCGCACAATTTTTTCAATTTTATAAACGGCAGATCAATTGGATCAGCTTGCCTGCATTTGAGAAATATATTTCACAATACTAATTATTTTAACCATAAAACATATATTTTCTCTAGTCACACACACACACACTTTACGGCTAGCGATCCAACCTTTTGTGCCCCGGCCTGCCAAAAAGGCGCAAATGTTCAGTCACGCGGCGCAGATTTCTATTTTGTTCTACTTGTAAGGCAGACGGCACTGCCTGTAGATAGAGCAAGATTGGATCGCTGGTTGGTTGCTTGGCTGGTTATTGGGTGGTTGGTAAGTTGACTGTTTCAGAACTGGCACTGGCACTGGCACCGTGTAAAGCGCCGCCGCCGCCGTCGCCGTCGCTCGCCTCGGTTTCCGACGCACCGATGTTTCTTATCAGACCCGCGGCGGTTTCTTTGGTTTCGGTACTTCGGTTCGATTGTGCGAGTGTGCGAGTGTGCGAGTGTACGAGTGTGTGCCTGTGCTCTTCGCGACGTTGTGCATTAGACTATACTCGTTGCCCTTCTATATCAATTTCGACTCATATAGTACTACCTTCAAGTGTCTACAATAACAATTTTAATATATATAGTATATAAGAAACGTGCATACCGAGTGTCTATGGGTTGTTCCTCTATAATGTAGGGTGCATGTTCTTAAGAGCTGAGCACACAATACGAGCAATGCCTATCTGCTTGTTACATAATTATATGCATCAATACGCAAGAATCTAGCTACCGAAATTGTAACAAAGTAACAAGTTCTTCAAATATCAAAAATTAAAATAAGCAAATGAATGAATCAGACAAATGAATTTCTCTGTCATGGTAATTAATAATGTAAAAGTCATTCTTTAAAACTGACAAAAAAAAAAAAAACACCTACTAATCAACACTTTTGAATTTTTATAAGAATTTCACAAGATTTTTTTAACGCATTAGCCTATACGAATTTGAGTATTATTCAAACTTATAATTTGCATGTAGGCCGTTTGCATTTCACTTCAATACATTTCAATATTCACTCGAACGCCATTTTGCGACGGCAATTGGCAAAGCGACGGCAAAATCCAACAAAATGGCGGCGGCGTCGGCGACGGCGACGGCGACGGCTAAACGGACACGGCAGGCATGACACGAGACGGCATGACAGTGCATGGCTTGGCAACACTGGCGAAAGCTGACGGCCGCCTGCTGCGTTGTTTGTGAGTCTGTTATTTTTTTTTTATTTTTTTTTTTTTTGCTGCTGCTATTTGTGGCACTCGGGCTGCATTTTTTGCGCACTTTTTGACGCTTTTGTTGCCGTTGTCGCTGCTCCTGCATCTGCGACTCGCGTTATTGTTGCAGCTCTTGTTGTTGTGTGAGCTTTTTTATTTGACTTTTACGATACTTTTTATGCCGTTTGCCTTTTTGTGTGCACACTCTAGCTAGCGTGTGTGTGTGTGTGCGCGAGTGTGTGTGTTTACCAATTGATCTTAATGTGACACAAATGATATGGTAAAATGCAGGCTGCCAGGCTAGCAAGCAACACAACAATGGCGACGGCGACGGCGACGGTGACGGTAACAGCGACAGCGACAGCGACAGAGACAGCGACGTCGTCGACATTTTTATACTGTTTTTAGTATGCGCTATGTTATGCCTAACTTTGCTGCTCCTGCCCTGTCCACCAGTTGGCAGCTACCATTTCCTTTCCCATACCCAATTCTATACCTATCCCGTTCCGTTTCCGTTCTTGTGCTTGCTCGCTAGGCGGCGGCATTACAATATTTTGTGAAACCTAAAAGTTTAGCAAAAGTTTTTCTCTTAAGAATTTCGAGTAATAACTGCAAAAAAGCACTGCGATGTCGGCAGCGGCAGCAGCAGCAGCAGCAATAACAACAACAACAACAACACAAACACCAACAACAAGAAGAGCAGAAATGAGCCAACGCCTGGCGACACCTTCGCTGTGGCCCCAAAACAACAGTCAACAGCACTTAAAAGTCAGCGTCGGCAATGGCATAGCACAAATATGAGAAACTTAACTCAAAAGTCCAAGTCAATACGCGCGGTCAACAGAAAAAGAAGAAAATAAAACCAAAACGAAAGCAGAGAGCAACAACAACTGCGAGAGCAGTTTGCCTGGCTTCCAGGGCGAAGCAAGCGCCGCCCCTTTATATTGAAAACATTGGAAATCGTTGATAACAATAAGAACAACAACAGTAAATGCCCCGCCGGAGTTCGCATTTTAGTCATGCGCGAGAATCCGTTATCTTATCGCCTGCGACGCCATTAAACTGGAATGTGACTGGGCGGGGTGAGCAGGGTGTCTGTTCAAGGGTTAAAGCCATTCCAGCGGCTGCGCAGTGCAGCATGCGCAGAGAGCCAAAGCAGTCAATCATTTTCTAGCTAGCTAGAGTCACCCTGTGCGGCATTGGTGTAAATACCCTAATCGTGCTGAAAGCGTTAAATGGTGTAGTTTCTTATGAAATTACAAATTTAAATTTATAAAATAATAAATCGACAAACTAACTATTTTCGCTTATTATTTATTAGCAATTCATTTAGCTTATCAGATGCCTTATTTATTTATGACAAACTAATTTAGTATAGGGTATCTGGTAGTTGGGCTATCTTATTTGTTTAAGCACGCTTTCTGTATGTCTGTGTAGTTTTACAGAACGGTGTGCTTCCTTGTGAATATCCTACCGCCCAACCGTCTGCTTGGCATTTTGTTTTCGCATTTATTTATGAGCCGCTTAGAGAACGGCAAGCGCTTTGAACCTTACAGGACTAACACCCCAAACCACAATTACGGACTTTGGCGGAGGACAACAGCTGGTGGCCATATCATGGCCGAATATCCCAGCAAGAGAACGCCGTTCAATATATGGATATTATGAAGCTATTAATACGAGGGCTACTCAATACCTACAATTATTAAAGCAAATCAATGTATTAATAAAAATAACTATTGATTGTTGGCCTTAGATTTCCATGCATGATATATAATTCGAGAATGTATTTAATTTAAACTTAAAAAAGAAAAGACTGATAAGTCGCACATTAAATACGCTTGTAGACGATCCTAAGAATAAACTAGGTTGTCATAGCAGAACTACATTCTTGAATGATTGGCAAAGATTCGTGACAATAGCTTTATAACTGAAGAACAAGGATAAAAGGGACACATCTCTATTGACTCGGCTTTTGATGCTAATCAAGAATTTATCCATATACTCTGTGTAGTCAAATGTACCCTGAGTTATACAAATAAAATAAATCATCAGAATTTCGCGTTTCTTTTTCATAAGTGCAAGGTCAGGTGTTTAATCAGCTCTTGTCTCATAGTTAGTGCTTCCTATAAAATTATTGGGCACAAATGAACCAAATTGGAGCATGACCCTGAAATTTATAAGCCAAACAACGATCAACTTGTGAATTGTGAAATGCAGTGAACGGTCCGGTCCAACGCTGCACGGGCACACGGCCAGTCCGATAATGATGATGATGATGATGATGATATTAATGATGATGTTGATGATGCAGATGCACTCTCAGCTCGAGCTGCGCTTACAAAATCGACAAATCCAGTCGATAGACATGACTGTGACTTTCAAATTTCGTGCACGGTCGCATGACTGGGCGGAACTGGACAACAGGTAACAGGTAGCAGGTAGCAGTAATAAAGCTGGAAAATGTTATGCATCTCCGACCATTTGGAGGGATTTTTGCCAAAGTGACAACAGGCAAGCCAAGGTAATAGTTATTATAAACCGGATTGTAACAACAATGGATCATCCATTAGCTGCATTGAGAGAAATCTCAGCTTGAGAAAGATAAGATCACATTTATCAGTAGCATGCGGAAGGTACTAAAAATATTTAATTTTCATCAGCTCTTATTTTTTCAATTTTCTTAAAATTAAACTCATATAATTAAAGCTTAATATTATTTCGTATAACATATCGCCGTCTGATTTGCATAAAGAGCCACAGTTTTCTTTCAGTGTAGTCGCTTTATTAGACAATTAAACGCATTTCATTAAAATTTCTTCGACGATTTTCATGCTTTTATTTTGTATCTTATTGTTTTTTTTTTTTCATTTTTTATTTTATATTACGCTATGAACGGTCTTAATGTCGTTTCTGAACGTCGCGAGAGTTACATAAATCTCGCCAATGGTATCCAAAACTTGCTGGCTGTGCACATTTTTACACATATCGCATTTAGGTCTGTGGGGTTAAGTCTGTTTGGCTCTTCAAGTATTGTTTGAAAGTTTTTACTGCCTAAAACAGCTCACACAAAGCGTTGGATTTAAAGCGCTTATCGAGGCTTTGACATGTCGCAGCGAGTTCATTTGTAGATCCGAATGTCAACGGTGAACAAGTGCAAAAGTCAGACGACAACGCAGCGCACCACGACAGATCGCCAATTCCCAGATCTCCAAAGGCAGGATATACCATATAGCTAATCGTGTTCGGTGTTCTCTTGATTAAAATGGACTTTGGCGAGTTTCGCGAGTTTGGACACGCCTCGATTGAGTTTATTATCAACTACTTGAGCAACATACGTGACAGGTGTGTGTGTGTGTGTGTGTGTGTGTGTGTGTGTGTGTGTGTGTGTGTGTGTGTGTGTGTGTGTGTGTGTGTGTGTGTGTTGTTTTAGTTATTTTCCAACCAATATCACTCGCTGCCTCCACAGAAATGTGCTGTCCAGTGTGGTGCCCCACGAAGTCATCAACCAACTGCCCAGACAGATACCAGAACAACCGGAACACTGGCGGCAAGTTCTCAACGATTTGGAGCATATTATATTGCCTGGATTGACCCATTGGCAATCCCCATACTTCAATGCCTTCTATCCGTCGTCGACATCGGCTGGTTCCATAATAGGCGAGCTACTCATAGCAGGAATCGGAGTTTTGGGATTCAGTTGGGTAAGTCTTAATCTACAAATTCAGCGGCAGATAGCCCAGCCCAATTCAAGAAAAACTAGGAACTATTTAAGCGGAAGCTGGTTTTAGAAATAAATTGAGATAAATTTGAATTATGAAAATATCTTTTATAGAAAATAATTGTTTTGTTAGGAGTGCTGTGCTTAGTATAATAAAAAGTTATCCGATCGTTGCCTGTATTCGTATATGCACACCTATGGTCAAAAGAATAGGTACACCAGCTGCGCAAATTCATTTTTTTTCAATTTGTAAATAAATTAATAAATAATTTTAAATAATCTGAGAGCCTATATAAAAGCAGCATCCATCTATTCCATCTATTATCACATGCTTTTATTTATTTAAAAGGTATTAGGAGAACTTGTATACCCAAACTCTGTGTCTAGTCCTTTTAGCTCTTGTTCTCAATGTGAGTTTTCCTTTTGCTTAACAATCTTGCAATTGTATTATTGCCTATACCATATATTCATATATATAATAGCTAAATAATTTTATAATGAGACTTAGTATTATAAAATGCAATATATAATGAAAAATGAAAAACTGAAGACTGCAAATATGGGATTTAACTTTGTTAGCTACAGAAATTTTCAAGTCGCAATAAGCTTTTATTTACTATTTTGCTTATGCATATATACATATGCTTCTCTTTTAAATTTAACTTATGAAAAGTGTCTTAATATGACTCATAAATGGGACATATTTTAGACAACAAGCAGCTGGTATTACCTGGACTGCCTGGGTTCAAGTTTTTTGCATTCCATTTTGACATCAATACCCTGTGGAAAGTTTAAATAAACCTGCACTGTCTTGAACTCAACGAGCATAGGTCTATTTTTGATATAGAAATATATTTAAAAAGGAGTCCTTTTAGAACCAAAAGCATGCGTCAATTTTTTCCGTGGTAAGAAGCTTCAAGCCGATAAATAAACTTTTGTTCATAAATATGATTTGAAAAAGATCTTTAAAAACGGAAATTTACGGCACTAGACTTTTCCATTAAAATAATTTTCAGGCTTTGCAAATAAGTTTGAAGTGTATTTCGCACCAATGAGATGGTGATTTAACGGAAAGTGTAAAGAAGTTTTTATAAAGATCCTTGAAGCTGAATTTGAGTGTTTAAATCCTTGGCCAACTTTTCCGACAAGAAGGGATTGATTTTCCCAAAAGCTGAAGACGATCGAATTTTAAACAGAAAAATTGCCTATAACCGTTTTCCGTATTTTTGCGGGTGAAAGCTCCCAAAACCCGCCTTTACGTGAGTCTTCAGTAGCTTCATTGATCGCCAATCCAATTAGTTAGTCAGTTCAAACAAGTTTATAGAGATATATATAGCTTCAATATTTGATTGTTTAGGCTATAATAAAAGAATCAGATTTTCTACATTTGCCAAGGAACAAGAGTAAAAGTTAATTAATTGACGATCAAGGTTTCCATGCAACTGAAAATGCATATGGTATATTATTTAATGCAATATATTTTCTATTTTTCAAACGCGCCAACGAAGAGAAGAGAATGTGATGAGAGCAAAGCTTTAAGAGCAAATGCAAGAGAAATCTGTTGGGCACGATTGGGAACAGTTTTTATAAGCTGTGAAATACTGTTCCCAACTTCAAACTGAAATTAGGTATTCGTTTTTAGTCGAACACCCAATTCTTTAGGTTGATTTTTGCTAACTTCGAGCAAATCCAATGGAAAGCCTAACAAACCTTTATTGATATTATATATATTTACTTAAAATGTTTGGCCAAAGGCCAAAGTTTTTGTTATAAAGAAAATAGTCTATACATACTTTTGATGCAATAACTTTATGGATATCCTACTAAAAAAAGGCGTAAATAAATTGATGTATTTGCTTACTTTTAAATACGAAAATCAAAGCGAGTAGAAATTATTGGATTTGACAAAAGTCGAGAACAGTTGTGAACCGTTCGATTTTAAATATAAAATAACTTATTTTTTTTCGAATTGTTTTTTGAATCATTATTTATTCAGGTGGATATTGATATTATGAGCTTACCTACATTTAAATTAAAGTATATACGTGTTCTTTTAATTCTATATAATTAGAAAGGGGATAACTGCCTAATTACATTGCCCGACACATGTTTATTAACAATTATTTTATAAGACAATTAGACGTAACACTGGACCCAGCCCAGAACTGTTTGATGGCATTAGGTAAGCGGCGTTTAAGAGTCGCAACAACAGAGACTGACCGGAGATTGGGCTGTGCAATTGACTCTTGCTCTGGGCTCACCTCCAGCTGTGATCGCGGGGTATAAAAGGCGCCTCGCAAGCGTCGCGCGACATCAGAGTGAACGCCAGGTGCGCGAGAGCAACACATCGAACAGACAGACCGACAACAACAGGTGGCCAGGGAACTTTGTGAACAAACAGAGAAGACAAACAATACGTGAAAAGTACAAATAGAAACGCTTTAAAAACAACGACTACAACGGAGATTGAACCCGAAACACAAAAACGTGAACGCATTGCAAAATGGATGCCAAAGAGTTTCGCGAGTTTGGCAAAGCAGCCGTTGACTATGTGGCCGACTATCTGGAGAATATACGCGAAAATGATGTGCTGCCCTCGGTGGATCCGGGCTATCTGCTGCAGCAGCTGCCCAAGCAGATGCCCGAAGCACCCGAGGCTTGGCGTGAGATACTAACAGACATCGATCGCGTGATCAGGCCCGGCATCACACATTGGCAGTCTCCAAACATGCACGCCTACTATCCCACCTGCGTGTCCTATCCATCGATAGTGGGTGAGATACTGTCCAGCGGCTTTGGCATCGTTGGCTTCAGTTGGGTACGTGCAGGTGAAATCTGAGACACGGGTCCATTGTCCAATCGAGCTGAATGCAAGCCCTTTGTCTTCGGTCTGGGCAAGTGAAAGCGACGACTCCAAAAGAACTTGACAAACAGGTTGTTTTGTTGCCAACGTAGCGAATCAAAGAGACACTTGTATTAGCCCAGGGACTGGGTCAAGCTTTATAGAATTGTCTTTGCTCATCAAATTGATTAATTAAGAAACAATACGACTGCTAATAAAAAACGAACATATTATTTTTCTTAACAGATATGCAGCCCGGCGTGCACGGAGCTGGAAGTGGTCGTCATGGACTGGCTGGCCAAATTCCTAAAGCTGCCCAGCCATTTTCTGCACGAGTCCGAGGGTCCCGGCGGCGGCGTCATTCAGGGTTCCGCCAGCGAGGCTGTGCTGGTCGCCGTACTGGCGGCGCGCGAACAGGCCGTGCGCCGGGAGCGCGAATGTCATCCGGAGCAGAGTGAGAGCGAAATACGCGGCAAACTAATTGCCTATTCATCGGATCAGAGCAACAGCTGCATTGAGAAGGCGGGCGTATTGGCGGCCATGCCGATCAAATTGCTGCCGGCCGGCGATGATCTGGTGCTACGCGGCGCCGCACTGAAGGAGGCCATTGAACGAGATGTGGCCGCCGGCCTCATACCAGTCATCTGCGTAGCCACGCTGGGCACGACAGGCACGTGCGCCTACGATGACATTGAATCGCTCAGCAGCATCTGCGAGCAGCACCAGGTGTGGCTGCATGTGGATGCGGCATACGCTGGCGGCGCATTCGCCCTGGACGAATGCGCTGAACTGCGTCGAGGTCTGGATCGCGTGGACTCTTTGAACTTTAATTTACATAAATTTATGCTTGTCAATTTTGACTGCTCGGCGATGTGGCTGCGCGATGCCAACAAGGTAATTGACAGCTTCAATGTGGATCGCATCTATCTGAAGCACAAGCATGAGGGTCAGACGCAGATTCCGGACTTTCGCCACTGGCAGATTCCGTTGGGTCGCCGCTTCCGTGCCCTCAAGGTATGGATAACATTCCGTACTCTGGGCGCTGAGGGTCTCCGTGCACACATGCGCAAGCACATTGATTTGGCTATCCAGTTCGAAAATCTGGTGAAGGCTGACGAACGTTTTGAGGTGGTTGCTCCACGCGCCCTAGGACTGGTTTGTTTCCGGGCAAAGGGTGATAATGAAGTAACGTCACAGTTGCTACAACGTTTGATGGAGCGCAAAAAGATTTACATGGTCAAGGCAGAACATCGTGGACAGCTGTTTCTGCGATTTGTTGTATGCGGCATGGATCCCAAGCCATCGGACATTCAGTTCGCCTGGACGGAGATTGAGACACAGCTGACATCACTCTGTGCTGAGCAACTGGTAAATGCGCGCAAGGCTGGCGAACTATCAGAGCTAACGCATCATTTAAGTGGGCTGCATCTAACAAATGAAACGCTGCAGCGCTAGTCGAATATTCAGTAATATTGCAATTAAAAAATACATAATCGATATTAATGGCATTGTAACAAGTAGATAATAAAAAATAAATCAATCATAAATATTAAAGACAAACTTATAAAATATTACAAATTTGCAAAACAAAAAATACGTTTTCAAATTCGTAGCCAACACTATTTCAGCTTTACCGCCATTCAAACAGTGTTGAAAAGTCCAGCTAATATCGATATACGTTATCGGCATGTGTATGCGATATTGGGTAACAATCGCCACCAATGCTGCCAGACTGCAGATATGAACAGCTGTTTCACTTTGCCCCACGTCAAGAAATTGGTGAATGGTGAACACAAAATACACTTCTTATTGAAGAAATATATATTCCTTGTGTACGTATGCATTTTGCAGACATTTGCCTATACAGTTTTGTGTGCATAACGATTTATCAGACATTTATGCATAACAATTTTAGTGATCAAACGACGCGTTAAAAAATCGTTGACACGTATTTATAATAGCATCGACAAGGGTATTTGAAAACATAACTAAATGAGACATTTCTGTTGTCAACACAAAACTTTCAACTTACGTACACAAATCGAAATTTCACAGTTTCTGCAAAACAAACTAAAACTGATCAAGCCTGTTGAGACTTTGACATGCAATGGTAAGTGAACATGTTGTTGCAGTCGTAGAAACAAATCCTTAAGAATTGCCTTCCTTCACTGTGGCGACCGATTAGTTATGTATAAACTAGCCACCAGGCGCAGCTTATACAACGCAGCGGCACTTAAAGCAGAGCTCACCGGGTTGCAGCACCATGGAGGCCACTTTGATTTCAACCACAACTTGGAGTCGGCCAAGCGGAATGCACAGATTGTGATCATTGGCGGTGGACTGGCGGGCTTGTCAGCGGCAAAGCATCTACTTGCAAATGGATTTCATAGCACTCTCGTGCTGGAGGCTACGGAGCGTTATGGCGGTCGCATTAACTCAAAACGCTTCGGGGACACATTCTGCGAGCTGGGCGCAAAATGGGTCAACATTAACGGCTCGCACGACTCGATGTACGAGCTGTTACGCAATGCCGAAGGCCTGACAAAACAGCTGAAGCAGCCGACGCCCGTTCGATATGTGCACGCAGCGGGTCAAGGAGAACAGAGTAAGGTGCCCTCTGGCATGGTTGAATTGATAGACCAGCTTTTTCGAGACTTGTGTCGTGGCTTCAAGGTGCGCGACAAGGTAAAGAGTGGGGGCGATCTGCACTCGTTGGACAATGTTATGAGCTACTTTCAGTCGGAGAGCGACAAGCTCATAAGCAGTTCTTTTAAGCATCCCGACGAGCAGGCAATGGCACGCGAGATTTTTCAATCGCTCTTCAAGGATTTCAGCAGCATACTGGGCTGCTGTCTGGAGTATGTTAATATCCAGCACATTACCACCTGCCCGCTGGAGCAGGAAACGAATCCCATTTACGTGCCCACGGGCCTGGACAACATCGTAAATGCACTCACCCACGATTTGGAAAAGCATCAGCTGCAAATGGGTAAACCTGTTGGCAAGATACAATGGAAGACGCCAACAGAAGCTCAATTTGTGGGCTGCTTGGATGGCAGTCTGTATCATGCCGATCACATCATAAGTACGCTGCCATTGGGCGTCCTCAAGAACTTTTCCGCAATACTGTTTAAACCGATGCTTCCACTGGATAAACTACAGGCCATACATAATCTGGGCTTTGGCAATCCAGTCAAAATCTATCTATCCTACAAACGGCCCATTAGTCACTGGCTCAAGTCCAACCTTCGCCCCTTGAGTCCGCTGGCGCAACCAAATCCAAGCGCAACCAATGAAGCGACCGACTCGAATCCGAAGCGCAGCTGGACGCGACAGGTTGTGGAAATATCTCAATTGCCTAGTAGCCAGCATGTTCTAGAAATACGAGTTGGTGGCGGCTACTACGACGAGATTGAGAAACTGCCCGATGCGACACTGCTAGAACAGATCACAATGCTGTTGCGGCGGTGCCTTAGCAATGAGCTAGTTCCCTATCCGCAGGCCATGTTACGCTCCAACTGGAACAGCTCTGCGTGCTTTCTGGGCGGCCGGCCCTACTTCTCCGTCAACAGCAGCGCCCGTGACGTGCAATGCTTGGCAGCGCCTCTGGGCGATGCTGAGCCAACACTGCTCTTTGCTGGCGATGCGACTGCTCTGCATGGCTTCGGCACCATAGATGGCGCGCGGTCCAGTGGCATACGCGAGGCGCAGCGCATAATTGACTTTTATCATAAGAAGCATGGCGTATAATCTCACACTCGTAGTTAAATGCTCGTACAAAAAAAGATTCTAGTCAAAATTCATAGTTACAAAAGTATTGGTTAAATAGTAATTAATTAAGCACATTTATTAAATACGAGTAGCATGTAAAAACAACAATAACGATTTTTTGATTATTAAGCCCATTCCGCATTTCACTTTCGCTCGCATTTGGTCCATTGCATATATTAAGATAACTGATCGAAAGTGTAAACGAGTACGGGTCTTTATGATTGGAACTGGGAGAAGGAGGTGAGTATTCAATGCTAAGATTCCCTAAACATGTCACTTCTGATGCACCACATCTCTGATGGTGTTCACTTCTTGTCAGCCGCCTCGCTCAACTCCAACTCATCGGCTGCAGCGCTGACTTCTTTCCAGGAGTACTCCATGTCCTCGGACTGTGTGAAACGCGAGCAGACAGCCATGCGCAAGAAGTAAACGTCGCGTATCTTGGCTGGCACCATGTGTATGTTGCCACGTCCATTGATCCGTTTCAGCAGTGCTTCGTTGCGCTCGTTGGTGCCCTTCAGACGGAAGCAGACTAAGCCCATGTTCACCTCGGCGGCCAGCTCAAAGCGTTTGTCCTGCACGCACAGATCCCCAAACTGCTTAGCAAAGCCGCAGTGGCGTCTGATGTGCGCCTGTAGGTTCTCGACGCCGTACAAACGCAGAACAAACCAGAGCTTAAGAGCGCGGAATCGACGACCGAGCGGAATTTGCCAGTGACGGTAGTCAGGCGCTGAGCCCTGCATGTCGTGCTTCAGGTAGAGCGGATCCACGTTGAATGCGTTGACCACCCAGCTGGGATCCTTTAGCCACATGGCGGAGCAGTCAAAGTTGACCAGCATCCATTTGTGTGGATTGAAGTTGAACGAGTCCGCTTTCTCCATGCCCTTCATGTGATGACGATATTCCGGACATATAAAAGCGGATCCGGCGTAAGCCGCATCGACATGCAGCCAAACATTGTGCTTATTGGCCACAGGACCGCACTCGTCCAAGCGATCGAAGGCGCACGAGTTTGTCGTGCCCAATGTGACGACCGCGTAGAAGGGTATCAGGCCATCAGCCAAATCTTTTTCAATAGCCTTCTCCAAAGCATCGCCGCGTAGACGATTGTTCTCATCCGCCGGAACTGAGCGCAACTTGATGCCGCCCAAGAGACCAGCCCGCTCCACGGACGAATGTGACTGGGCAGAGGCATAGCCCACCAGTTTGCCTATTATCGTGTGATCATCCCACTCAGGATGCGTAGCCTTCACCTCCTGCAGCTTCTTGGCCTTTGCGCCGAGTAGCGCCACCAAGGTCGACTCGCTGGCCGTTCCTTGTATGACGCCGCCGCCTTTGCCGCCCGAACAGGCCAAAAACTCCGAGGGCAAGTCGATCATCTTGCCCAGCCAATCAAGCATGACCACCTCCAGCTCAGTGCAGGCTGGACTCGCTATCCAAGTAAATCCAATGCAAGCAATCGCTCCGCTCAACATATCGGCCACAATCGCCGGATAGGAGTTGGCCGTCGGAAAATAGGCATGAAACTTGGGGCTGTGCCAGTGTGTCACGCCGGGCATGATGACCCGCTCAATGTCCTTCATAACATCCTGCCAATTCTCTGGCTTCTCTGGCGCCGCATCCGGTATCAATGGCTGCAAGTAGCCAGGCTTCACCTCGGGCAACACTCGCCTGCAAGCACAATGCACAAAATCAACAACAATTAGATTAGAAATCTTATTAGCAGCCATTCAAAAACTTCACAAAGCCCGCTGCAAATTAGATTCCAGTCTTGGCCCAACCCCACCAGACATCAGTCGCAACTTGTTGCCAATGGGTAGAAAATCAATATTTGCGGGCGAAGGCACGACACAGCCTCCAGGCTAAAGCAATACATTCGCGACCCATCGAAATAGCAAGCTCTATATATATATATAGAACATTTTGCCTCATGTGGTTGAGCTGACAACAGAATTAGATGATTAACTATATTATTTAAAATGACAACTCTCTCTGCCCCCCACACAATTAAAAAAATGAATTTGCAGAGGTTCTAAGCAGATCTTTATCTGGCTTATGGATGATAAAATTATATGTATAAAAAGAAGTTTATATCTTTGCAGTTTCACTGTGTACAGAGTATCTCCTAGTCGTGCATTCGCCAGTAGAGCTCTCTTGATTGCTTATGAAAGTGCTTACCCTGATTATATTCGATTGGATGTTATTTGGATTACAAAAGAGATTAATTTAGAAAACAGCCAAACTAAGAATTTTATTTGCTTAGCTAAAAATTCGTATAAGATTTACCATAAAATCCATTTAATTAGTATCTAAATGTGAGAAATCACTGTTGATAAAAATGTTTATAAAAAAAAACCTTCTTAAAGATATACGCAGAAACTTGAAACAATTGTTTCACTAAATATTGCAACAGTTTGCTATGAAATATGTTTTTTTGATTTTTGTTGAGGACGACAATTCGCAAGAATTAATGCGGCTGTCGATTAGGTTAGTATTTGTATTATTATTAGCTAGATTTCTAACAGGTTAACAACAACAAAAATTGTATTTTTACGACTGGAGCTCATATAGTTCCAAGGCAATACAATTTGAAATGTTTCAAGAACAATGTGCAGCTCGGAACTGTAGCTGAAGGTAAATAATAATGTCGACCTTGACACGCCAACTAACAGTTAAAAAACCTTATAATGTTGTAATTAATAAGCTGCAATCACAAAGCACTGGCAAAAAAAAAAAAATACAAAACCAAACAAAACTTGTGAAAGGTCCCAACAGC